AGGGGACGTTCACCTAAACGTATGCAGATGTTCTGACTCTCGCTTTGAGCCTGAGCTCTGTTGAGGGTACATGGAGTTCTTTTGTTTGCTAGCATCTATCTGTTTCATATTTGTCTCCTCGTAGTGGACCTCCTCCACTCGGTGTGGTGAGATTTTATTTCAAAGTGTGTGTGGACCGGCTCGGCCGACTGAGGATGACGTAAATAAGATGAATCATTTGTTGTTTAAATTTTTGCGGTTACCGGGGCCTCTACTGCACTTAATTTTCATTGTTTCCACAATCCAGTTGTTAAGGCCTGTGTGTGTGCGTGTGTCTATACAGCTATACTCGTGGGGACCTGTGATTGTTGAGACACTTGCCTTCGTTGGGACGTCCGCACTGAGTGAAACAGTAATGAGATTTAAATTTAGTTTGGAGTCAGGATGAGAGTACGGTTCAGAGTAGACGTGTCATTGTTGTGGTTGTGGTTAGAGTTGGGGGGGGGGTATGAAATGCATTGTAAATAAAGTCCTCACAAAACACAAAAAACAGTGTTTGTGTGTGTGTGTGTGTGATTAGGGCCCCAATTTGGATCAGCACATGTGTGGAATGGTTATGAATACACTGTGGTTATACTTTATGCGTGATAAAGATTGTTCACATAAGACAGTAAACCCCGCCCCCTATTTTTATTCTACAGTGATGGTTTTTTTTGTATTTAATCAGTCCCATCCTGTCTACATGGAAGTTTCCATCTGGCAATTGTTTTGCACTGAACAAATAAACACACGTCTATCGCTGGGAGCCTATTGTGATATTTGGTTTACATTAGCAGCTCCACGTCAGGTTCTCGACGAGAAATACTATCATACCTGGGCCCCCAACTCTGGATTTCCACCATCAAACACTCCTCAGTGGGTTCCATGTCAGACGTAATGAGTACAGTGTGCACAGGTTGACTTAAAATGAGTGTGAGAGAGAGAGAGAGAGAGAGAGAGAGAGAGAGATTACTACTATGAAGTATGAAGTACTTTTTGATGGAAGTTCATTTGAACAGTTTCGAGGAATCTTGAAAGCCTGGCTGTGGCCGCGCTGCTGCGCCCCAGACAGAGAAACACAATAAGCATGCAGATGTTCAAAGTGTTTGGCCACGCTGGAGCCTCCAACCCTCTCCCTCTCCCTCTCCCTCTCGCTCCCTCTCCCCCTCTTTCTTTCCCTCTCTCATCTGAGTAGGAAATGCTTTTGCTGGAACTGTTTGTTTTCCCTGTGTCTGTGGTCTGAACTGTAGATTCACTTACATCTAACCCCTCTACTCCCCCCTCCTCCTTTTTCTCCTTGTCTTTTTTCCTCCCAGGAGTTTCCAAGTGGTGAGCTGAAGGAAGGACAATTCACAGATCAACACTGTCCCCTAGAGGGTAGGTGGGAAATGATGTCTTTTCACTTATAGGCTCTGTGCAGAAACAGCCTCTGAATATTTTATACAGCGGAGAGGAAACGGCCCATAGTTTGATAAAAAATGATATATGCATGAATTTTAAAGCTTAACACAGAGCATGAAATGACTACTTTAAGGCCTGAATCTGAAGTAATGTTGCTAAAATTATAGCTAGTTAGCGTTTCTTTTTGTTTTTCTTTTCTTTTCTTTTTTGTGGCTGATATTTGTTAATGGAACCAATTTAGAACTTTTAATGAGGTATCATTTAAAACCACATTGCTATTTTAAGAATATCTTATTGCTATATTATATAATGATATGTGCTAATGTTAACTTAGCTGTGCGCTCAGCTGCTGTTTAATCTCTGGACAAATATGCTACAATTTTTGCCACGTCATCTATTTTTTGGTAGCAGTTTATTCCAACTAACTTGTTGCTTTATTTTCATTAACTTCCACTGATTCTTTCCAACATTTTAGCTTTTTATTGTAAATGTGCAGTTCTATGTTGGCACCTTAGAAGTACAGTGCAGTGTCCTCTGTAGCTCCAATAGTCAACTTTGGACTCTCAGACTGTTGTTTTGATCCAGTAGAGAATGAATCCACAGATTCTGACCTTGGTTTTTATGGACTTGTCTTCACAGTGGTTCTTCCTCCTGAGAAGGCTGAGGGCTGTGAAAGCTATCTCCAGTACCTGCACTCAGAGGATGGAGAGCGAGAGATACTCAGAGATGCCACCAAAGCTTCTGGCAAAAAACGCATCAGCCTGGACGTAAGCAGTTTACACTTCGACAGGCTGCAGATGGATCGCTCCGAGTTTGATTATCAAGCTGAGCCTGTTGTGTGAAGTCTCCCAACGCTGGGATTTTATTTACATTTGTGAAACAGTTAATACAACTCTGCTGGGGCAGTCATTTCTATGGCTCCATTTTTTTATGTTTCCTGATTCTATTAATGGACAAAAGAAGGATTTCACCAGCTAAGACGAATGACTGGTGAATACATTTTACAGCTGAGTGCTATAACCTGACGTGAACTTAATTCTAAAGGATCATCTCCACAGTTCTAGAGGCCATTTTTAAAAACATTTTCAGTAAAATTTAATACATTTTTGTATGTTTATTTTTCTAAAATTAGCAACTTTTGGCCTAATTCATAGCTTGTTAAAAATCTTAGAATTTCTCAGATATTTTTGACTATAATTTAGGCTCATCATTGATCTGACTTTCAAATACCTTACATGAATGTATTGCACGGTCATCTGTTTCAGCCGCTCCAGCACTTCCTCATTAGGATGCATCAGTAAGTAGATTTGAATGCTTTTAAGAAGTGTTCAGATCTAGACCTTGGAGATCGCTGCCGGTTATGTGAGTGGAGGAAATTTTGCTGAAGTGCTTCTCTCTGTGTTCACTGCCTTTTTCACAGTGTCAGCTCTCTGCTGTGCCCATTTGTCCAATTATGGCCATGTTACCAGATACATCAGAATCTAAGCTGTTGTCAAAAAGTTGTAACACAGAGTGGCTGAGCTCATTTTTCCTGGAAGATGGCAGAAAGACAAGGTCACAATGGAAATACTCACCGTTCGGTTTCTTTTCTCTCTGCCTCAAGGCAAAATCAACCAAAGGAAACAGCTGAATTACAAATGATTTGTTTACATGTTGTAAACCAGGGACTTCACCAGCTTCATCTTCAGCTGCAAAACTCTCAGGATTTAATAATTTATATCAGTTTGTGATTTTTTTTCCCCCTATCCTTTTTATCCGAAGCTGGGTTTGTCCAAAGTCCAGGCCTGGGGCCTTTGTTGGCACATGAACATATTTTCTTTTAATTAAATTGTTTGTGGTAGGATAAGAGTTAATACCTTGGGATTGTGAATAGGATTTGTGAATAGGTTCATTTACTGCCTTTGCTGCCCCCTGCTGTTACAAATTTTGGATGCTTGTATACAGTTAAGGTGACATGAAATGTTGATTCTGTTTTAAACCGTGTGATTTTTTAACCAGGACTTGGAGTGTGACGTGTCAGTGGAGGACGACAACCGTCAGGAATGGATCTTCACCCTGTACGACTTTGACAACAGTGGGAAAGTTACAAAGGAGGTGTGTGTGTGTGTGTGTGTGTGTGTTAAACTGTCATTATTCTCTCTGTCATTATCTCCCTGTGTCTGTGCCTCCTGTAATGAAGTACAACAAACCAGAGTAAAACTCTTCCTCCTGTGTCATTACAGGACATGTCCAGTCTGATGCACACCATCTATGATGTGGTGGATGCCTCTGTCAATCAGTCCTGCCACAACAAAAGCAAAACTCTGCGTGTCAAACTGACCGTCACCCCAGAGCCAAGGTCCCACCGGAGAGAAACAGGAACAGGTCAGTCGGGATAAAAGTCTGAATTTGTTAAACCGAGTTAGTTTTGGTTTGGTTATTTTTAGTCAGTGTTTATATGAGTTCTTAAAAATAGCAAAAACAATAACTGTTACAAAAGACCAAGGAATATTATAAACTGATAAATACTGTGGTTTTAACTGAACTGACTTCTCCACAGATCGCTGTCACCAGGAGGAAGGACGCTCCACTGATAAACGCCTGTCCTCATACATCAGGTCAGTCATCGTCATCAAAGTCATCATTTATATATATACTGTATACATTATTTTCATCACCATAGATTTAACATGCCTAATGACGATTGTGGCGTCTCATCTGGCTGCGGTGTCTCACTTCTAGCAGTAGAGGGCAGAGCACCGAGGCGACAAACCCTGAGGGTCAACATTACTGTGTGGATGAGAACACGGAGAGGAGGAATCACTACCTGGACCTGGCCGGGATAGAGAATTACACCTCGAGGTTTGAAGGTTGGGGTCATTTCTTTTAGTTTCATATATTACATACTTTATACGTATACATTAATTACAAGGTGTAACAGGTAGACACACAAAAGCAAAGTGACTCTGAGAATTATGATGATTTATAACATTTTTTAATTAATATATTTCTTTTATAAGTTGTAGCTGTTTTGTAAATACTGAAAAAAAACTTTGGTCATTCTTCCTAAATTTTTCCATTGATTCTTTTCATGTGATTTTATACTATAATATTTTCTTTATTTTCATGGTAAATTTACCTGGCGTCTTTGTACTCTTGCTTCAGGAACTGCCCCAGTCACTCCTTCGCAGGAGCCTCAAGTCCGAAGCTCCCAGAACCAGAGCCGTTCACGCTCCCATGAACCAGAAACCCAAGTCATTCACCAGCGTCGCTCACAGATTATCAGCGATAGCTACAACCCCACGGAGTCCCGAGGCAAAAGTACTCAGTTCATCAAGTCTCCGAAAGGAAACTACAAAGGAGGGGGTGGCAACAATGGAGGCGGCGGCGGTGGAAAATCGACTAAATGTCACGGCCACCACCCGCTGCTGCAACCTGCGCTGCACAGTGTCAATGCATCAGGCCACGGTGGCCAGGATGTGTACCATTTACCACACCAGGTCCAATCTTCCAGCCACCACCACCAGCACCCCCTGCAGTACAGTCACAGTAAACGTCTGAGGGCCAAAACCAGAGATACCTTGTCCCCGACCAGGGCCCAGCTGTCACCTCAGTCCCAGTCCCAGCAGCCCGCTCCCGTGCCCACTGTACTGCCCAGTCTAGAGAGGGAGCAGACGTCACTTCCTCCTGGGAGCCCAGGCTTTGTGGTTCCAATGGTCCAGCGCCACGAGCACCACCATCATCACGAACACCACCACCACCACCACTACCACCACTACCATCAGACATGACCACCCTCAGCGTGCAGTGACCTAAAACTGTACAGGACCAACCACAACCACACCAGTCTGAAGGACTTAACGTCATCCCAGCAGGAGAGTCCGGCTCTGCCTCCAGGATCTTCAGTTTCACTCTGCCAGGCTATACAGATATAATAATCTGAGGTTAGATGAGGGGTAGTGTGATGACTGACCATTTAGGACCAGGAGGATGTTTGTCAGAAGTTATTGTGTTATAACAAAATATATATGGCACAGCTTTGAGGTTTTTGTTAATGTTGTGACAGGACTGCAGCGTTTGTCTCCGAGGGACGAATCCTGAAAAGAAACAAAGTGACTTTGATGCATCGTCCTTTCTTTCCCTCTTGATACTGTTGGCTAAAGTCCCATGAAGCTATACTGTATATTGGAGTAGATGTGTCGTTCTGTGTAGGACCTTTCCAAAACATGGATCTCAGGTGTAAAGGTGCTGCTGCTCTGAAGTTCTCCACATGGGCTTCTTCTCCTCCTGTAGGAGGCCCTAATGTGGATGGAGGGGTTTCCTGTTTGGGAGGGAGGGAGTCTACGTAAAATCACCACTGCCAGTTTTAATGCAAAATTATCTTGCTCTATGTATAAAAAAATCTATAAATGTAAACACATTTTATTGTATAATTATTATTCTGTATATGCATATTTCATCATGGATATATTATGCATATATGTATTTTCTTTTATATATTTTAATAAACATTATATAGTTATCTTAATGGTATTGCAGTCACTTGTTTATTTAAATCACGTATTTATTTTAAATGTATTTATAACTTTTTTTTGGTAAGAATAAAGTTTCCATAAAATAACTTTAAAAAACGCACAAATTAATGAAGGTTAAAAATGTGTCCATTTAACAGAAAAAAATGTTTAAATACTCTGAAGAAAATGTCATAGTTTTTGCCAGAAATAAAAGTGGTATGTTTTTGAGAATGTTACATATTTTAAGTCATAACAAGTCTAAATTCAAAAGAATAAATTCACAATTTTAGGTGGAAACAATTGAAACATTTTAGAATTAAAACATATAAAGTTTCAGCTGTGTGAAAATGTAGACGTCGTTTTCTCTTTTTTCTGTATACAAAAAGCTTTCAATTAAGGAACAAAACAAGTTAGCCGCTAGGTGGCAGCAAAGATACAGAAAAAAGGAAAGCCTGACTTTCCCTAGAAACTTCGCTAATGTGATTAGAAACATCTGTCACCTGGGCTTATCACTGCACTTAAATAGATTTCTTTAAAAATTACGCAGAAACTAAATCTTGTGTTTTACACAAAAAATACGCACAAAAGATGAATTGTTACTTCAAATAACGTATCAACGTGCATGTGTTTAAGTGGCGGTGAGTGAGTGGCTTCCTTTTGGATTGTTTTTGTAAATCTGGTCTCGCGAGACCTGGCAAAACTACTGCCATTGGAAGCTGTGTGTTAACGCGTAAGAAGAAACAAACGGCTAATTGTAAATAAATTGAAGTTGGTCACATTCCGTTTTATTCAGTTAATAAAATGTAAAAATAAAAACCCAAAACAAAACAAGTTTATTAGACTGACATTAATATGCTGTGCTACAGTGGTGTTCGTATATTGTAGCCTAGCTCGGAGCAGAAACATTCCCTGCTCTTGTCGTCAGGGATTTAGGGAAGGACTGAGTCCGAGCTCCGGCTGAGACGAACAATGACTGCTATGAAAGACGAGGGGAGGGGTCGGCCCAATGCAAATATCTACTCTGTACGCCCTGACGCACAGCCAGCACCAAACACTGACAACTACCAACTTCCACCGTGAAGCTGCCGAGGAGCCGGGTGTGTTTTTGTCGCTTTTCGTACTGCTAGGTGCTCTCGAACATGGAGGTGTCACTCGCAGAGCAACAAGTGTTGGACTTCCTCGGAGAGGAGAGGACTGGAGGCCGCTGCAGCATCACTGAAGTGTCCATGTGCACCTGCTGGAGGAGCGAACACTGAGGTATGCTGTCCTGACACTCGTGTTCTCTGTTTTTAGAATCATGTTCTTATTTTTTTTATTTGTTTGTCTTTTTCGGTGTCACCATCGTTATGAAAACAACTTTCTGGGGGGAAAAAAACTTTATGAACATACAGCAGTTTTGCACCAGCCACCCCTCCACCCCCTGTGGGGCTTATTTAGTGCAGCTAAGCCCGTCGCAGGAAAACGTGATTATCCTCAGACCATCGATACGCTGGCATTCATTCAAGACATGCATGAGAAAAGACCCTGAAACATAATGGGTCAGTGGGAGCCTGTCGGCCTGTGCAGTGACAAACAGAAGGGAATTCTGTGTGAATATTAAAAAAGTTCCGTGGAGACAACTGGCATTTTTAGACACATGAGGGTAACTGAAAAAGGTTAAGACGATTAAAAAATGTGTATTTATGAATAACAGCGTCTTTCTCTACACATTCTGCATCAGATAATTCCAGGCTTTTGGAATACGGAGGGGATACTTTTTGCTTGTTCTCCTCATCAAAGGAGTAAAATCAAAAGTTATTTTTTCAGTTTTGGGAAAAAACTAAAGTAATTGCAAAGTTTGCAAAGTGGTTTCTGTTCAACTTAATTGTAGAAAAAAATGAAAGACTTAGACGTAACAGCTTAATACTTGAGAAAGGAAAAATAATACATAGATAAATAGCTTCTTTATTACCAGTGTACGTTTCTATACAATAAACTATCGTTTGACAGCAATCCTGTCCACACCAGTAAGTACTTAATAAAAATGACCAAAGCTGTTGGAGACACTTGAGGAATATATTCAAATGTTGTTGTTTTTTGTTTTATTAAATAATGTTTTATTTATTAAATAAATTTATTAATAATTATTTTTACAATATTTTGGACTAACAAATTTATGTTCATATTTAAGTTTAAAAATTACTATTTAAGAAAACTAGATTTTTTTTAAGGAAAAAAATTCTGTTTTATTAAAAATAAGTGTAGTTAAACTTTTTTTCTTGGACTTTTCCTGCAGCTTGTACTTATCCCCCCCAGCGTTGGTGCGTAAAACTAATAACAGAGTGAAACACTACTGTAAAATCCCAGCATATCCCCCAGAGAGACATCAAAGCCTGCTCCACATGAGGCCTTTATCTGAACAATTNTCCCCCCCAGTTCCCCATTTCCACCTGATTAAGCCCTAAGCTGAGCTGAGTTGAATCTGGAGGGAAAATGGTTCACCAAAATCTGACTCTCTCAAGTCGGACACAAAAGAAGAAGACTGCGCCCCCTCTTATGAATCCACTTTGGCTTAACGAGTTGACAGGAGAGCCTGTGACATGGTGGACTCTGTAGTGTAGGACAGTAGAGGACAGTCAAGTGGAAGGGAAGTACAAATCATTATGGTCTTTAGAGCTTGATTGCCCACAGGCATTCAATTTACATGACATTAAAACACAAGAAAGTATTCAGTCTAAAAACCAGACTGTACCTTTAAACTGAACTAAACTTGAACTTTCCAACTCTAACACACCCAGTAGACGTGATGGGTGTGAAGTAAATCTCCAGAAAAACCAGAAGTGCTCTGACGTTTTCTTAAGTATTTTAAGTATTTTCTAGTACTTGATACGTATTAGAACATGGACGATAGGGCTAGTTTTAAAAACAAGTGACTTGTATGTATACAGTCTACAATAGTGATGAACTGGTGGCCTGCGGACCTAATCTTGCCCACCAATCCATCCAATTTGACCTGTGACTGGATTCCAAAAGAAACATCAGACAATAATGTTAGACAAAAATGTGATTTTTGGATGTCAGGGGGCCACCCAGACAAATATAGTTGGTGACCCCTGGTCTACAATGAGAGTCGGGGGCTTCATCAGGATAACAAATTGCGTAGATTAAAAAATGAAGTTGGGTCTGATTTTAAAAAAATAAAAAAAGGATCATGAACCTTAAACTTGACTTTTCATCAGTTTTTAATATTTACGAAAAATATTTCAGCATTTGGCATGAGAATCCCAATGGTTAGGTTATTATAATGCTTTCTTAATTTTCCAAACTCTAATGTGATGATGTGTTCTGATGTGTTGGCTGATGACATCACACACATGCAGACTGTGTTTAGATCGCTAACGTTCTGTAGTTTTAACACTGTTTGTGAAGCATTAGCTAAATTGCTGAGAGTAAGCAGAAGCAGCCTGCAGACCACTCTACACATTCTCTGTCCGGTGTTGACGTTGCTGGGCAATGTGAGCTGCTGGATGAACACTGCTCATGGCTCTTTCTCTCTGTCTCTCCACTTCTTTCTGTGTCGTAACCCCCCGACTCACACACTCACACGCACATCAGCACCCTCCTCCCTCTGCTCCTCTCCCCTCTTTTGCATATTAATAGAGGAATAAAACCGAGCCTGTCAAACAGATTATTAATATTCTCCACATTCAGCCGTATATGTGGCACATAAAGTTTGTGGGAACTTTCCCTGCTATTGTTGTTTGTAGTATTTATAGTTTTCTCTCAAACGTGCAGTCAAATACAGCAGACAGGGAGTCTAGCAGTCTCAACAGTTGTTTTACATATATCTTTGTGTTGGCCACTAGAGGACAGTGTACAGATACTGTTCTGGAGCGTTTAGGACTCACTTTCAATGTATCCTTTCCAGTGCTGACCATATAATATTAATTAGTTAATCTTTTTACATACACACACACACACATATATACATATACTGTATATGTATATGTGTGTGTGTGTGTATATACTGTGCGCTTTCATTGGCTTGAGTATCAAGACACGATAAACTGTGTTGTGTTTGTACAACTCTGGACCCTTTAAAAAAAAACCCTCATTTGTCCTACAAACCTCCAGACTTCTGTTCCCCAGACTCAGCATTTTTCAAATGTCACCAGATTTCAGCGGTGTGTATCTTTACTGCATCTGTAAACAGGAAGAAGTCATTACTCTGACAGCAGTGCACAGACAGAGCTGGAGTTGTGTTTATTTTAAATAGTGATCATGTCCTTTGACAGGACAAATGGACCAGCAGCTGTAGTCATGCCACTGAACGTCACATTAGTGCAACTGAACTATGGATGGATATTTGCTCTGACATTTTATACTTAATCCCAATAGTTTCTTCCTAAATTTATTAGTCGGACTTTTACTACCACAGTACTTTTGGCATGAATATTACATCATGCCGTACAAAGAGAACTCTAGGTACTTTTTGGTATTTTAGTTTGTTGTTCTTGTAGTATTGTACTCATACTGAAGTAATTTGAATGCATGGCTTCTCTCAAATTATGTTATTACTGCATTTACCCTTGAAATGGAAAAAAACTTAGGAATACTAGTTGTGATTTAAAAAAATCATAGTACTTAGTAAGTAAAAGCTGCGCTTTGTCATTGAGGAGTTTTTCAATGACAAACTTCCTCCTACTGCTCCTGATAGGCTGCATCCTCCAGAGAGGGGTATAATTAGTGCAATGAAAACAGGAAACACCTCGCCCTCCCAATCGTTCTCCCCCCCGTTTCTCTTCCTCTCTCCCTCTGTCTTTTCCTCTCTCTCCCTCTTCCTCTCTTCTGTTCTTGGATATGCATTTTTCATCCTAATTATCAGGTGCAGACGCTGTGATGTTATCGCTCTGATTTACGTCCATAGGTTTACTGGAAATGAGATCGTGGTTTGTTTGTCACCTCCCAGACCGCACAAACCCACCCCCTAAA